CCCCCCCCTAAAAGAAAAACCAACATAAGAGATAGCTTGTGCACTGATTGCCTACCCTCCAGGCGCCCTCAGCTACAACTTGCCCCGGCATTCCCCACGCACCACGAACGGTTCGGGGGCCTCGTCCCTGTTTGTAGCGACACAGTTGTTGTTACAACCGACACGGCCACTGGCAGCTTTTATCAGAACTTATTGTAGAAATGAGTTCGCTCGGCATCGTAAATGCTCACGCCCCTATTCCCCTACCTGGACAAAAATGAAAAAATAAAAATGGGGGCGTACTTTCCTCATCCCACCGCAGGACGACTGCTGAGTTCGTCAAGGGATCAGCCGAACCACAGTGGTCAGGACATACTCTCGGGGTTTGTGAGACGATTGACAAAAATAAGAAAAAAATATTGTGTGTGTGTGGGGGGGGGGGACCTTCGCGAGAGGCGACCTTCCAGAATCTACCCATCTTGATTGCTTAGTAGTGCAGAACAAGGTACGGGTGTCCGTAAGAATACGCGGCTGCTCGATGGGTTGCCTACGCACTAGCGTGCAGGCGCGGAGGGCGACGGGGGAGCGGTGGAGGTGCGCACCATCCAGCGGACAATCCAGCGAATTCCGAACAGACTATGGAGGCGCCGTTTAGGACCAAATTATTTTTCAAAGAATGTGAAAAAGAGGGAGTACCCACCCCGCTTTTACACGGGGCGAGGTATACGTCCCTGTTTGTAGCTGCACGATTTTAGCTACAGCCGACAGTGCCCGAGCCAGCTTAAACTGAACTGTCTATAGACGAATTCATTACTTCCGCCAATGCTAGAATATCAACCAGAAGTCAACTGCGCTAAGAACTAAAGCGAAAACGAGAGATATCAATGCCTCTCCGAAGCTCTCGCCTTGTCCAAGCACTCGGAGGGACAGGGGGCCGGGGGGGCACGATTCAGGAAAGCATTGCCTACCCTCCAGGCGTTTTCAGCGACAATCATCGACCCACGCCTAGATTGACACGGCGTCACTTCTTAGCTTTAGAAAGGATTTATGAGCCTGGAGTCAAAAGGAGCCTAAACCCAAAGGCCCCGTCACGACAGACGCCTTAGATAGAAGCCGTGGCCTACCTCGCAGGCGTCCCTGCGACAACTCATGTCGCGGCGACAAGTGGTAGCAGACACGTCCCTGTTTATGGACACAAAAATGTGGTCACAATGGGGCAACATACGATGTCCGACGCCAAGCCACACGCCCCTTTTGTAGTTACAGTCGACATGACCGCATGCAGCTTCATCCGAACCAAAATAGTCGGCCCTAAGATCAACTCCCGGGCGGGCGGGCAAATTTTTTCTTTGTCGCTTTTTTTTTCTCCCGTTAGGCATGACCGAGCTTAGACCTCGGCCCGGTAGGAGCAAGCTGGTAGCCGAGCGTGTTAAAGCGTGATGGTTGGCAAATCGTGCCGGTGGTCGCTAGTTCGAATCCCATCCGCGGTCATTTTTCCCTGCCACGATACACGGGAAATGGCCAGTAAAAGAGCCCCTTGGGCGCGCGGGGGTTAGGTTAGGTCCATTTATGGTACCTTTTCCGAGTTTTTGGGAAGAATTCGACCCGGGCTGCAGCGCGTCGAGGAGGTGGACTTGAGCCGACCCGCACGCGTGCAATACAAGAGACCAAGACCCGTAAGGCGGGACCGAGTTCTGAACCTCTCGTTGACAAGTGGAGCCGACAGCCGAGTGGCGAGCGTGCTGGCACGGGGTCACCTGGGTAAGCTCGGTCTGGGGATCGAATCCTGGTCGGGTCGGAACTTTTCCCCGTTTTATTGGCGACGGCTATGTGGCCTCCAGAGACACCGTACACTTGGCTCCACCCTTGAAGCGCCATCCGTCATGTTGTCTTGGCAGGCACATGGGTATAGTGCCCGGTCGCGACGCTGATGATCGCACGTTCAAATCCCGACCGGGGAGCATTTTTCTTTCTATGTTTTCATGTGTTTTCCTGGCGTCAGTGGCAGTAGTCGGTAGAGACAT